ATTGTGCTTTAATGTTTGGCTGGTCAACTGTATGGTATGGAAACCTTATTTACCTGCTAGATGAACCCGTCTCATACAGCTGCCATTGCAAGGCTCAAAGACACTTTGTAGAGAAGAATTTAACACAACTGCCTCTAGGAGTCGCCAATGGAAATAAAACAGACACGCACAAAAAATGTGCGTACGCCAGCCATAAAGCTGCCGTGAAGCTGCGCACATTCCCACGTTCAGTTTATCGTTAGTAAATCCAAACGTGAGCGATTCTGAGCGTGAAACCTGGCGTACGCAAAGTTTTTGTGCGTACGCAGCGTTGATACATGAGGCCCCTGATCTGTGCTAAACTATCTGCTGCTGCTTTCAGTAGTACGGCAATAAATGTGATGTGAAATGGCATTCAGACTCGCATCATTATCATTTAACACTGAATAAAGCACATGAGCTGTACCTGAGCTGATCACTGTCAGTTTACTGTTGTTCAGCTGTGAGAAATAGAAGCGATTTCTAAAAATACATATGTTTCAGGTTTTGATTAGGACAAAATCATTTCAATATGGAAAATATTCCTTCTATTGCATGACGTTGCTTGTAGTTACAACACGGCTATGATCAGCTTTTAGGCTCGATGGTCAGGCACACTCCTGTTGGTGTCCTCAATCTGGCAACCTGCGCTAGCTTGTGTTTTGATCCAAATATGCAATACCTAGTTCAACCACTGTTGAAACTAGGGTGTCAAACGTACATATTCTGATTTAGTGGTCATAACAGTGGCAAACGCAAACGGTCAAAAAGTCATTATAATGAATAATTAAAAAAATAAATATTGAAATAATTTATATTTTGACAGCACCGACCACATAGTAAAGCTCACGCACACTAAACACCAAAGTCATACTTATATGTGATATCAGACCAAATACAAGTGTAATATGGTAAAGGAGCTGTGGCAGAAGTTGTGCATTAGTATATTTAATCAGTATTATCTTTTAAAAATGCTGCTTTACTATTGTATTGAAACCCAAAGTCGAAAATGAGCGAATATAAAACAAACTTTACCTCAATCACATCAAAACATGGCGCTTTTCAAGGTTAATGCATCATGTACCGTGCATTTAATAAACATAAATGCATTATAATTAATATATTATTTAAAATACATTAACATGTTGTACTAAAGAGTAACACAGCAGATTATAGTGTGTGTGTAGAAATACATATACTGTTTTTGAACTTTGAAGCCATACTTATATGCAATTTCAGACCGAATATATAACGTGTAATATGGTAAACAATATAAGGGCCGTGTCAGAAGTTACATTGTCATTATAATTAATCAGTATTATTAGCCTTTTTAAACTCTGCTCTACTATTTTACTAAAACCCAAAGTCAAAAATGAGCGAATATAAAACCAACTTTTTCTCAAATACATCAAAACACGGTACTTTAGAAAGCTTAATGTAACACATGTTTATTTAATATGCATAAAGTCATAATTATAAATAATTAAAAAAAGTAAATATTTAAATTATTTATTGTACCATGCATTTAATATACACAAATGCATTATAATTAATATATTTTTTAAATAAATGAACATGTTGTTGTATGGAGAAAAACAGCAGATTATACTCTGTGTGCAGAAATACATATACTGTTTTTATTTTCGAACTTTGAAGCCATACTTATATGCAATATCAGACCTAATATATAACGTGTAATATGGTAGACAATATAGGGGCCGTGTCAGAAATTATTTTATCATTAAAATTAATCAGTATTAGACTTTTTAAACTCTGCTCTACTATTTTACTGAAACCCAACTGTGAAAAAGTAAAAAAATAAGCGAATATAAAACCAACTTTATCTCAATTACATCAAAACATGGTGCTTTTGAAAGGTTAATGTAACATATGTTTATTTAATATGCATAAAGTCATTATTATGAATAATTAAAATAATAAACATTGAATATTGAGGCACCACCGACCACATAGTAAAGCTCACGCGCACTGAACACCAACACACTGAAGATTACGTTACACAACGACGGAGAAAATCGATTAAAATATTTTAAACATCGCAAAATAAGCATGTAGACTGCTGTCTGAGCTGATCACGTCGACGATATCGGCAAAACTCTCTAATCCCCTGCTGATTGAGAGCAGCGAATGTGTTTAACATAGAGTAAACATCTCTATCGCCAACACATACAGAAATACATGAAAGACGATCAGAAATAAACAGTTTTATGAAGCAGACTCTCACCTGACCGCCGCCTCCTCATTACACGGCCGAGAAAACACCGTAAATCACCCAGAGCTCAGCCACTCGCCCGCCATACACACAATATATCACATCAGAGAAATATTCGTTGAGATGGAAATGGAAAATAAATGAATATTAACGTTAAAACAACGATGGAAGTGAGAGAGCCTCGTACTGCTGTTGAGACACCGAACACACAGCAGCGCGGCTCTTCCGGTAGACACCACGCACATGCGCGCCTCCAACGACCTGGAGCGGCACTACAGGAGCAGTGTAAAGCGCAAACTCACTCTGACTGACCAAAAATATGCAAATATTAATGTCGTACACCGTCCTCATAGCAACAATGTTATAATAAATGACCTTTTTTTGGAAATCTTTACATTTACATTTTACATTTTGATGTGGTGGGCACAGTGGTCAGCACAGTGGCCTCACAGCAAGAAGGTCTATGGTTCGAGTACCGGCTGGGTCAGTTGGTGTTTCTGTGTGGAGTTTGCATGTTCTCCCCGTGTTGGCGTGGGTTTCCTCCGGGTGCTCCGGTTTCCTTCACAGTCCAAACACATGAAACATATGCTGGAATAGTTGGCGGTTCATTCTGCTGTGGCAACCCCTATATAAATAAAGGGACTAAGCCGAAGTAAAATTAATGAATAAATGAATGAATCTATACTGGGACAAAGCTTGCACTGGAACATTCATCCAGATAAGCACGTTTTAAAAAGATTTTAGCTAATAATTTTGTTTACAAAAGAAAAAGAAACACACAAAATTATTTGGAAAGGATCACAAAAGCTGACGTAATGACATTATGCAAATTACATTTATGACATACAAATACATATTTTGATTTCACATATTTAGAATATGTAGAATATATGCAACACATCATTCAAAACAGTGCCTATAACTGCCATTTACGTGTATTTTTCATTAATATAGATATAGATAGATAGATACAAAAACCTCTAAATGTCGTCTGAAATTTTCCTCTAAATGAGTATTTTTATCAGGATCCTGTGTGTATGTTCAGTAATATCACTTTTATAGCAAAGAATAAGTCCTTTTTCTGATCTTTAAAGTGAAATATCGCAACATAAACAAAGGAGGCTGAGAAAAATGTGCATTTTCTATGGAAATGTTCTCTTAATACAAATTTTAAAGTTTAAGTTTACAAATTTTTTTTGCTTATGTATATTTTTAGACCACATTTTATGTACAATTGTACTGTACATATTTATATATTGTATATATTTATATATTTTTTTCCTTAAAACTCTACTTTTTATATTAATATTATATGTTAGGCGTCTGAGAGTAATGTAATTTCGATTCTCTGCAAGTCCTGCACATGTGGCTGAATTGACAATAAAGCTGACATTGACTTTGATTTTGACTCAGGCCCCTATTTTGACCGCTGCGCTATCACACATAAAAAATAACCCCTCGAAAAAAGGCTTTAAGACCAAGAGGAATCCTGGTGTGACTTAATCAGTTATGGCCAATGCAAACAATTTTTTAAGAGTCCAACATCCAGCAAGAAAACACCTGACAAAGTCATCTTTCACCAATGTATAGATTTTAAATAGAGAAAAAGTGTGAAGCAAATTCTGACTGAAGAAAGTTGTGCCGGCCAGTTTGTTTTTTGCCTAATAAATTACAGTATAGGCCACAGGTTTTTTTTTTCTAATGATCGATGATGTAATAAATTTGTATTGTAAAATAAATATTTGTCATAATTCTTTATTTTAAATATTTAGGAAATATATGACTATTTAGCTAAATAAAGTGCTTAAATTGCCACATAAATTCAGTATTTAAATCTATAAATGTAAAATGAGGCAAATAACAGCAAAAATGTCCACTATTCTGAGAAAAAAATAACCACTTCTTTCACCAGGCTGGCTACAGGCTTGATATATATATATATATATATATATATATATATAT